GCATTGCGGACGTACGATCCTGATCGGCTCTTGCACGGTCAAGCGCCCATGTTTGAACGTCATGGGCCTTGGGCGCCTTCGTCTGAATGGACTACGACTGTACAGGAACACTTACCCGAACGGGAGATTGACACATTCTGCCCCAAATCTCTCCAATCGATATCTACTTGTTTCCGGCACTGGAAGTTGACAGGGCGGAGGGAATTGCGATCATGCTGATAGCAGAAATTTCCGACTTCAACCGCTCTTATCGGTTTTAGCGATTGTCAGACCTAGGGTGCTGCTGGTAGGGAAAAGGAGAGGAGGTGCTATGTGAGTATGCTAAATGTGAGGGTAACATTTATCCCGAAGTGACCCATTGCATCTAAAAAATTTTAAGCTTTTCTGCAAACTTGCGTTAGAGCGCTAAAGTATAGAGACCAAAACACGAAAGCTGTAGGAGAGTAAGAAGAAGCTGAAGAACTAAATCACGGGAAAAAATTCCTATATTTCGTCAAGACATTTGTAACTCAAGATGTGCGCTCGTACATTGTGCGCGCCAAGCGACAACAGTTCATTTATAACTTGTCACCAAAAGTTTTTGGCGGAACTAACAGATTGTTTGCATTTTACATCTATCCAATCAAGACAATAGAAAAGCTACCGCTGTCTAGCAGATGCTACCACTTCTAAGCATCCGCTAAACAAATCCTTATGTGGTCTAATAAAGTATGAAAAATTTCACACATCTATTTTTCAATTGACAAAATTTTCACACATGCTCTCTTGCTCGCGCATGTATTCTTCACATCAGACATTTGTATACAGTAGGTGCATCGTTCAATCGATGAAACACGAAGAACAAAAGTAGCCCGAATACACGAAAATGTCGAGTTTTGGAGCAAAGTTTGGTATTCCTCATCAGCTGAAACTCAGGTGATTATACTTACAAAAACTTAAAGTTTGGAATTACGCATGCCAGTCCAGGACTGCTTTGACAAAAACATATCAAACTTCGCTCTCTCGGTAGCCAGGAAAATACTGTGGAATCTTGCAGCGAATGTCTGAGAGTAAGTTTGGCTTTGATGCGGAATATTGTCCAAATTCTAGTGACTTCAACATAAATCAGCTTGATGCTAATGTTTAGACTTACTCTATGGAGACCACGGGCGAGCAAGCCGGCAAACTTTGCCCGAGCAGTTTTTGGACACGGAGAAATTACAAAGCAGTTTCACTTGCACTTTCCTTTTTCTTTCACTAAATTTCTTTTTTGACCTTTTGAAGATAAATTTTTCTCAGTAGTCAGCGAGCTTCCAATATTGCTTGATAGCAGTGAAACTCAATCAATTTTGCGATTAGAATAATGTTCTAAGTCAAGTTTCGCTAAAAGGAAGCGTAAATTGGGTGCAGGGTGGAAAGGAGGGGGGGGGGGGCGGTACAGGAACTGCTGCATGAGTAAACATTCCGGCCGGAGGCAATGCAGCTTTAAAAAAGGCTTTAAACCTCAAACTTCTGAGAATCGATTTCACGCAGTCTACCCATCTCAAGTACAGTCGAGTAGATTTCCTGCTTAATATAGTGTCCCTGCAGACTCGACAACGCTTTTGCGTCAACAAATGCCATTTCGCCGAGTGATTGTTTTTACTGTTCTCTTTGTTCTTTACTTTTTAAGTGTTTCTTTGCTGATAAAGGAAAAAAAGGTAAGTTAGAGACTGGTTTTTGTTTTCTAAGCAGCTATACCGTCACTTATTCGCGAGTATTACCTGGAAGGCCGTCTTGTTAGTTTCACGTGTATTTTTCTCATTTCCTTTTTTTCGTCATTTATTGCCTCTTCAAGCCTTATGGCATTTCTTTGAACTAGTAGACTTGCGCTGCAGCAATTTCGACACCCACTCAAAAGGAAGTAGGTTGCAGTTAAGTAGTTCATGTGTTAAAGGTGATAGTTCAAACGTAAAAGCCTACTGACGTTTAAAGAAATGCTTCGCAAGGGGAAAAAGGGGTAAAGATACAAGAAATTACACATGAAACTGACACGATGACCTTCCACGTATTAGGTTGGTGCAAAAGAAATGGCCGATTTTCCAATCCTTTTTCCAGGGTAACTTTTTTCCATCAATAGTTCTTCTTTACAATGGATTTAGTATATTGTCGCAAAGCTGTTTTCATGCTCTATCTAACGGTGCTTAAAACGGGCTCTCAACCCTATCATTTGTAAAGTTACTGAGCTTCAAATAACTGCATCCAAATTCAGAATTTCATTGCATTCACTTTTCCGGCCAGAATTCAAGCGCGTATCGATGGGATTTCTCCGAAAATTTTGCTATTGTATGTAATAGAAATTTTCTACATTATGCATACTTAACTGCATTCTTTGAAGTTATCCAGATTGAGATATCGGCGCCTAAACATGGGTTGCTGTTGCGGTCATTTTATGACCCATAACTTTCTTCTAGTCGCCGAAGCTTTGCTCAATTCTGTAAGTAGAGCTAGGACATTTATTAGCAGTTTTTGCAAAAACATCCAGGTGTTCAGTACGTAGAAAATCAGAAAATTCTATATTCTGACTTTTGAGGCACACTGAAAAAATGTTGAAACTGAAAAATTTTAAATTTCAGTTTTTTCTTTCTCGCAAACTTTTTTGTCCGAATTCTTTTTATTGTATTTTGTACTACTGGCTTGCGGCTACAAGATAGGCCACTTATCATTTATACTAAGAAACTTTGAAGGAAGTTATTAATTGTCAAAAACAAGGTTTTAGAAGAAGAACCTTTTTTGTCTTTTAGTCCGTATTTCTCTTCCCGTTTATGGTTTGAGTATAAGTAAGTATGCGCTGTATTGCAAAAGATTTGCTGCTTCTGAGGGTCTTTACTGCATTCAGAAACGTGGGTCTTCTAGAAAGTTATAGCACTTCAGAGTGAGAATTCGCAAATCGGCCATTTCTTTTGCACCAACCTAATAGATACTCGGGAGTAAGCGAGACATAACTATTTGGAAAACAGGAACTTTCTAGCTTACCTTTCTCTCCTTTATCGGCAACGAGTTACCCCAAAAAGCAAAGAATAAGCAAGAAAACACTAAGAAACACATGAAGAACCCGCAAAGGCAATTCCTGACCCACAAACTTGTCGCGTCTGCAGAAGCACATTAAGCAGGAATTCTACTCGATTGTATATCTGCTGCCCCTTACTATGATATTGAGTAGGAGCGCATTGTTGCATAATCCCGGTGAAAACAAAGAAAGAGTCATTAGTTTGAAAGGAAAATGTAAAATAAGATTGAAAATTCAAAGTGGAGTTGAATACCACGCATGCGCAAGGGTTTGGCATTAGAGAGCCGTGATATGCAACATTGCTTAAAGAAAATGAGGCAAAAACAAAGGAAAGGGAAGGATATGAGAATGTCTTGCTGCTCAGGGACAAAGTGTTGACCGGAGAATTTGTCCATGATAGAGAAATCTAAAACTCATGTAAACTTACAGCATACGCTCCATACGATTTTGAATCGCGCAGATGATCGCCGGGGGCAGGCGGCCATGCGAACTTTGAGTAAGCGGTACCGGAAAAATAGTTCGCTGATTTCTTGTGATCCGCTTGCAGTTGGAAGAATTGGAAGTTGGCCAATTTTTAGACGTGCTCGAAGAACAATAACGGTTTTTCTACGATTTAGCTGCGGCGCAGTGACCGCATTCTCCCGGACTTTCCGCGAGAATATGCAAGGTTACTGAGGGCCGCATGATCCTTTGTGAAGGACCGCACAACCCGTCGGTATCTCCTAAGGAAGGTACCTCAAACTCGGGTAATTAAACCATTGATGACACCTCTGCCACATAGAGTCTTCTGCTCGGCGTACGCACGAAACTGCGTAAAAAGAGTCCGAGCGCTTGCTGAAAGTTTGGCCAGTGCCCGCTGAAAGAAATCATTTACCGAGCGCTTGAAGAAATGCTGTATTGCTGCCCGCTGGCAGAATATGCGTCCGTAAAGGAAGTGCCGCCCGCTGGAGGTTTGGCCACGCCCCAAACTTCTGTTGACCGCTTGCAGAAAAGCGCAAGTTTGCGGACTGCCTGCCTCCGGCGATTATCAGAGCTTATGGTAGCCGTCTGAAAACGGTTCAAATTTTGGGAATTTACTTCATATAAATTTTCGAAAATTTTTACACTTTCATTAATATTATGTTATGCTTAATTTCAAATTTGTGTGACATGCTTGCTTGTCTCTACTCTATTAATAAGCAATTTGTTTTTGGCTTACTTTCAGATAGCGCGCTTTTCGCAAGACACGATGGAGCACGTTCATCTTAACTTGTATTTACGGTTGTGCTGAACTGAGTGCTCTTTTTTGGTTCTACAGGAAATGCGTAGGATTGTCTTGCACACTGAAGGGTGGTTTCCCTCTACATACTTTGCTATTAATGCGTGTACATTTTTTAGGGCTCACCGCAAAACCATATCCCCTTTGCTTCTCGTCCCAAAAACAAGATCCAGCCTGCTTCCATTCGATCTGTGTCAGGCCCTGTAGCTCATTCGTTCTTTTCAAAAACATATTCAGCACTGATGAGATAAATAATTCACAGCTTTGAAATGTTTTCAACTGGAAAAAATGATTTAAGAAAAATAAGCCGCTACTTGAGAATCATTGAAAAAACGCAGAAGAAATTAGGAAATGCAGTTGATACCGCCCCACTTATATTCCATACGTACAAAAAAAAACCGTACTCACTTATGAATGGTTCGAAGGCATGAAATCTAGAACACTGAAGCTTTGAAAATGGAATTTTCTTTGACCGACTCCTGCTTTATGATGGAGAAGTTCATACGCGAGCGAACTCGCCGACAAGCATAAACTTCAACCGCGCTAAGCAAAAGAAACGCTCTACTTTTATGTTAACTGCTGTCTACTCAAAATTACAGCTTGCTCTAAAGTTACTGCCGATATTTTCGATTAAAGAAAGAGAACGGTCCTACGTTTTGAAGACATTCAATGTCTTTCTTATACCATTCTATAAATGATACAGTTCAGACTTACAAAGCACTATTGGATTCCCATCTCATTGATTCCCAACCTAATCTTCCAGTGATGCGCTCCTTCAAAGATTCGTTCTGCTTTCTTATATGTTCAGCAAATTCTGTCTCTTCAGCAAAGAATTTCTTACCAATTTCAATAAGAATTGGTCGCAACACTTTTTCTATGTATAACTAAAAAACGATGTGTATGCAGTGCATATTTCGTCTTACAATTTGGAAGTTCCACTTTTTTGAACTTAAGGTGAGGACAGTGATCTCAAATGCATCTATGCAAAATGGTGTTGCAAGTGTTCTTTATTCTTTTGTTCACGACCTTACGTTTAGACGCCTTTTTAACTTCCTCAAAGGCCTTAATTTAGCTAAAAGCGCATTTAGCGACGCGAAACCTTCACCACCTATATTTCGGCTAGTTTGCAACCTTCCCTCAGCATATCTACCGCAATATCTGCAAATCATTTATGCCTTAACAGCAATGATATCTATATAGGAGAAACCGGAGAAACCCTCATTACTCGCATAAAAGAACGCCTGGCAGATAAAATCGTGATTCGTTTTTACTTTCTAGCAAGCACAGGAACGAATCAAATGGTGGAAAAGATTTTGATGTCTTATGTCAAATCTTGGCACAGAAAAAGAAAATTTCGGCTAAGAATGCATTTGCAGCTTTGGATTTCTGCGAAGAGTCCAACAATGAACATTAAAAACGAGCGTTTGTCGATTACCGCAGACCTTCATCTATCGTAAACTGTAGGTCACATCTCATATGCATTTATGATAAAGCCCATTCCGCGTCCAAAACAGCGGGAAGGCGAAAAGGCATCGATAAGGCCATGATTGGAAAGAATGAAGAACACCTAACAAACCTATTCCCCACAGATGAATTCAAAATAACCATATGTTCCCTTTCTCGTATCGAACTCAGCAATGAAGAAAATTATCACACACTAACCCTAACATAGAAAGCGTTTTCGCTTGTTCCAGGATACATTCTATATATTTTCATCATCTCGACTACAATTGCTTTCCATGGCAGCCATTGCTATAACATAAGAATAAAACAACATAAAGTAGCGCTTGTATAGTCCACATGCTGAGGATTGATTTTTTTTGGTCATCTACGCAGTATTTGCAGATATCATATATTTGATCAATGTTCTGTTGAAAAAAATTTGGACTGCATACATGGGAGGCCTTAGTTGAAGTGCCTTTTTAAATGATACCTATTTTACCTTGTAGATAAGTAGTAACTCCAAATCTTTCTTCCTTTTTGTGGAACAACCCTCGGAAAAAACTACTGAGTTCTGAACCTGTAAATTTGTCAAGCCTTCGGCCTAGGCATACCTCTAGAAACCCCGTCGTTATGATTTTCGGTCGTTGCGACTAAACTGCCTGAGCGACCCTTCACTGTGGGAAAATCGCTGATCGCTTGATTCCTGGGCATACCCAAAGCGATTTTGTAGACGGTCACACACCACACCGCATTGTACGCACTTTTGGAAAACTTGCGCTAAATTGTCTGTGCATTTATTTGAGAGAATGCATTTATTCGAACAGAATGTGACCCCATATGATATGGATTCACATACATTCCAGTATTTACCAACGTTTTTCTATCGGCGCAAGTTTAATACTTACATCTGCAATGAAGATGACAACTGTTTATAGAGTTGTGAGTTCTTTTACGTCACTGGTAGGCATATACGTGAGCTTTCTAGCAGTAAATCATAATTTCGGCTTCAAAAAAACTCTGGGTAAGCTATTTTAACAACAAGTGCTTCGCGGGCTCTTATCTGCCAAGCTGCAAACGATTGCACATATATGCCTGAGCAACCGACATTGTACATCTATTGTGGTCCAGTAATTGTAGCAAGAACATTTGAGATTCGGTCACCACTTGTGACTAAAGGACAAGAACAAGAACAGGAGATGATTAGTGCACTGTGAGAACGATAGATGGTAATACAGAGGGTGAGGTGACATATGAGAAGCATTCCATACTATGCACTTCGCAAGTGTGTGCTCAATGATTGATAGTAGGAATGTTCGATAACCATCATTCTCTTATGCAGAGAGGACACGTTTGCATAAGATGGAACAGTTCTGAATGAAATTTGCACTTGCAAAAAATACAAATCTTTTCACAAAGAATAAGCCATTCGAGCGATTCGTCCATTGTTGGTACAGAAACTAGCGACGGCGGCATTGCTGAGTAGGAACGATGTCGCGACGATTCCCTCCTGAGAGTATGCCCGTCCAAAAATAACCCGTGATTTGTCGCAGCGTCTATCTTAAAAGACGCGGCGGGACCACAGAGTTGGAACCGCGTGCGCTGCGGACTCGGAACATATGTGCGAGTTGGAAATGGCGACGCGCCTTAGGGTCAAGGCGTACTTCACGCGATTCCAGTAGCGTCGCAAATTTCAACTCGTACATATGTTCCGAGTCCGCAGCGCGGGCGCCTCCTACTGTATGGTCCCGCCGAGTCTGTGGTAGATCGACGCCGCGACGGATCGCGGGCCGTTTTTGGACGGGCATACCTCAACAGGGAATTCTCTCATCGCTGGGTTGGAACTAGCGATGAGAGAATCGCTCGAATAGCTTCTTCTTTGTTATGAATTTTTGCATTTTGCAAATGCAAACTTCATTTGGGACTATTCCATCTCACACAAGCGCTTCCTATCTGCATGAGAGAAGGTGGGTCATCAAACATTCCATACTATTAACTAAAACTAAAACAGCACATGCGAGTTATATAGTATGGAATGCTTCTCATATATCACCTCACCCTCTGTGTTACCTTCTGCTGTTCTCACAATGCACTAATCTTTTCCTGTTCTTTTTCTAATAACAAATGGTGACAAAATGTCAAATGTTCTTGCTATAATCTTTAAAGCAAAATAGATGTGCATTGTCGGTTGCTCGGGCATATAAGTATTAGGTTGTCCGGAAATTAATGCCCGTTTTGAATTTCAACCGCAATAAGTCATACACTTCTCATTTCTAAATAGGTTGCAAAGCACCATTCGATAGAGAAAAGCAAGCTCTACAAGATGACTGTCTTGCTTTTGCAACTGCTCTCATTTGTTTCGAGTTTCGAGACAAAAACTAAAAAGACTCAGCAGCCCGAAAAATCGAAAAAAATCGTAACTCAGTTCAAAAAGATCCTACAAAAATTCTAACTTGCTCACGTAAACACTATCTACATAAGACATCTATATACGCCTTTGCCGTAATTTTTCCTCTGTTAGAAATCACGAAAACGGAAATTTTCGTGCATTTGCCAAAATGATGCTGTGCCTTCCCCACATAGGTTGTTGTACACCACAAGCTTGTAGAAGTACAGACTTAAATTTTCAGCTCTCTACAAGCTTTAGTTCTCGAGAAATACCGAATATAGCTTCCCCTAGTTGGGTGGTCCAAGCGAAAATTCAAATTTCTCGAGAACTAAAGTTTGTAGAGAGCTGAAAATTTAAGTCTGTACTTCTACAGACTTGTGGTATACAACAACTTATGTGGGGAAGGCACAGCATCACTTTGGCAAATGCGCAAAAATTTCCGTTTTCGTGATTTCTAACAGTGGAAAAATTACGGCAAAGGCGTATATAGATGTCTTATGTGGATAGTGTTTACGTGAGCAAGTTAGAATTTTTGTAGGATCTTTTTGAACTGAGTTACGATTTTTTTCGATTTTTCGGGCTGCTGAGTCTTTTTAGTTTTTGGCTCGAAACTCGAAATAAATGAGAGCTGTTGCAAAAGCAAGACAGTCATCTTGTAGAACTTGCTTTGCTCCATCGAATGGTGCTTTGCAACCTATTTAGAAATGAAAAGTGTATGACTTATTGCGGTTGAAATTCAAAACGGGTATTAATTTCCGGACAACCTAATATATGTTCGCAGATTGGCATGAGCTCGCGCAGCACTCGTTGTTGAAGTAGCCTACCTAGAGTTTTTTACAAGGCCGAACGCAAGATTTTACTGCTACAAACCCAACGTATATGCCTATCAGTGACTGAAAGAGAACTCACGACTCTACAAACCAGTTATCATTTTCATTGCAGATGTAACTAACTTGCGCCGGTAGAAAAACGTTGGCAAATACTGGAATGTATGTGACTCCATATCCTTTCTCGTCTGATGTAATGCTTAAACCATATGACGTCACATTCTGTTCGAATTCCTTGAAAAAACGCACTTCAAACAATTTAGCGCATGTTTTTCAAAAGTGCGTATGATGCGGTGTGGTGTGAGCGTCTACAAAATCTCTTTGGGTACGTCCCCGAATCAAGCGACGAGCGATTTTCAAGCTGTGAACGGTTGCTCAGGCAGTCTAGTCGCAGCGATCGAAAATCGTGACGACGGGATCGCTGGAGGTATGCCCAGGGTAAAGCGGGGGTGCGGCACGCCACACCTGGGGGGTCGTATTGAAAGGCTAGGGAGGGGGGGGGGCGTTATCGAGGCTGTACTGAGTAAGCATTAGCATAATATTCGAAACAACGTCAGATAGGACCATTATGCCAAACACTAGCACACTGATAGTTTAGCCTACCATTATACATAAATCAAACATGATAAGAAACCCCCAAAAGCATGAGAGCATCATTTTCGTATTTAGCATGTCAAATAACCCCTATGGGCCAAGTTTCAGAGAATTCTGAGGTTACCAACTATTGGGTATTCCAAGTGAAATGGTCATTTTCGAACATACTTTGTTTCTAAAGTGAATTAGCTATCTGTTTTTGCACTCAAAACAAAGCACTACTCCTTCTTTGTCCATCTCAGAAATCCCGCTTCAAAAGACCTCCAAACTGTGGAATTAGAAGCCAACTAAAATCTCATTTTTCCCATTCTTCGCTTTCAATGGCTGTGCTTTCACCAAATATTACTTAGAGCTAAGAAGACGAATCAGGCTTAAAACATTCCTATGGAATCTACTAGGTTTAGGCTATCGATTTATATAAATAATGTTTACTAAATATGTTTTTTGATACAGTTAATGGGGTCCCCCCCTTCTCAAAAGCTGCGGCTGCCGCAGCTTTTAAGGGGGGGGGGCCGCACCCCATTAACTTACCCTTAAAGCCGTTGAATGTCTACGATTTTAATGTCGCTGTTAATGCTCAACCTTCTTCTCTCTATAGTACGATTTTTATCCAAAACTTTCCCGCATAGAATGAGCTATAGCGCTTTTTCTACTAACTACCATCCATCGTGCGGCTTCCAAAGTATCGGGTTACGATAGCACGCAAATTCATCTTGCCGCCTTTCTGCGTTAATGCGTAAACGATGCAGAGAGGCGGCAAGCTGAATAATTTGGATGCCTTCCATTGTTTTTGAATTTGTACTTTTTTTCGTCTGTTTCCTTATATGAGGCCTTTCTACCAGACAAAGAGACCTTTTAGGGAAATGGGACGACAAATCTACAGTCTGGTGGTTGGTGGTTGGTCCGGTGGTGGTTTGGTGGTTGGTGGTTGCTGGTTGGTTGGTGGTTGGTGGTTGGTGGTTGGTGGTCTTGGTGGTTTGCACTAACTCAATGCTCTGCACCTAGACTCCCTCCCTTCGTGCTTTCTTCCTCCTCTCTGAAAATGAGGAATCTGTTGAGATAAAGACGTTTTGTTTGATACTTTCTCCATACTTTCGTTTTAGAACTTGTTACTCGCTTGATCTGTAGCTGTGGGGGATTATCAACTTTTTTATTTACACTTACAGTAAAATTTGTTTCAGATGTCGTTTTGCGGCGCTATTTAGTCGCAGCTATACGTGTCTGCGTAATATGCACACTGATTATATCCTATAGCTGTACTTGCAAGTCGCAACTCCACATCATCAGAAATTTCTTTATACGAATTGTTTCATCCAACTCGTACGTGGAAATCACTCTTTGCAGCGTCGTCGTTGCTGTGAGCGTTCACTGTGGTTACTATGGTAAGGAATCTAGAAATTTTCTTTGCGTTGGAAAGGTTCAATATTTTCAGACCACTGTGTCATGCAAGATAGATACCGCTCACACTGATATTATCGTGAGTTCCAAAATGTCTTTCGTTT